CTCCAGCCGTTCCGGACGGAACTGTATTTTCTGAAGTGGTTCTTCTCTGTGGCACACAAATGCAGCAAGCCCACGGCCAGCAGAAACCAAAATGCTGGCGTTCTGTACCCTGCTGTGACCCTGCCAGCTCAAGGCTGCACATCAAGCTGTGGATAAAGCACGAGAGCCCTTTCTGCTCCGAGCCCCACTGCGCACGCAGGCAGCAGTGACATCCCGCACCTGCTCGGGCACAGTCTGTCCCCACACAGGCTGCACACAAAAACACTTTTCCCCCCTGACCAAACCCTCCCGAGGTTCCACATCTCTCCTCCCACGGAGCAGAACGGGACAGAGGCGCTGGCAGCCAGGTGGACCCCGGTCCCCAGGAAGGCTCGGGGACTCTGCCGTGCCCAGTGCCCAGAAACCCGCTCGGAGCCATTTTGTAGCTGAAGAACCCCCACGGGCCTAGACTGGATTATACCATGCTCTGAAAACAATAAAAACAAGGAAATAGCCTGTTCTGCACGTATCCTTTACGATCCTCGAATGTTAAGCTCTCCAGCTTCCCCAGCCTCTCCCAGCCAGCAGCAGCGCCAGTGACTTTTCCCCTCTCTGAGTTTCCCTGTCCCAGGTCAGGGTACCTTGTCCAGCACACAGGAATGAATCCCCAAGGTGCAGAGGCCGGGTCTCCCTCAAAAGAAACTCTACGTATCCCTCATTTCAAAGTCGAGCCGTGACAATTTCAAAGCTGCCACTATTGAACAAGTTGCCAAAACAAAATCATTCAGCTAAACTCGGGGTTTTTTCCCCAGCTCTTTTTATTAAAGTTTTGTTTCACACAAATATTTGAAATGGAGAAACATTACCCAAGTATCAGCTAAAAGAAAACCTAAGCAGCACACAACCTTCTTTACTGAGAATAAAATTAGCATCTTAATATTAAAATATGTCCCTTTTGACAATTGCCTCCCTTGGATTCTGCAGGGGGGTTTTCCATGACTAGAACAGAACAGATGTCTGTAAAGCCATCCTAAACTATCTCCTACCAGCTCTGCAGGGCAGGTCCTTGCTTTGCCATTCTCACTCACCGCTGTAAGCTCTTACAAAAGCATTTTTACTGCCTGCAGTTATGTTCAGGTGAGCAGGCACTAGCAAGACAGATTATATTTTTATCCCATACAAACAGCACAGAAAGGTTAACTAAATGTCTTAGTTCAGGGGATGTACAGATTAGTCACTACAATACAAACTATTTCCTTCTGCATGCTCCATTATAAAATTAGATTTCTCAAAGAATACAGGCTTTCTCTAGAGTTTCACCTCTCCAAACCAGGAGTGTGTCTCTGCAGAAATATTTTCCTTACAGGTAATCACAGTAACAAGCATAAATAACAGGGATGCTTTAGCAAGCAGTCATCAAAGTTACCCTCAGTTAAAAAAGCTGGTGTTAGTAGCTTTTAATCTGAGAGCATTGTATTAAAAAAATAAAATGCACACACACAATACTACACTCTATCCACTGCTTTGGAGCTTTACAGCAAACAGATTCACTACAGAAACTTAATTCCTGGTGCCGTAAGGCTGAGACACTTGAACACAACCTGATCAAAATGCCTTCAGGACTCTGCCTTCACACAGTATGCAGCCACTGCATGCAGGCACAATGCTTGAAAACTAAATTTTTTTTCAGAGGATTACACCAGACACAGAGCCAGTTATGCAAAAACAATGACACCAATGGAATCAAAATATTCATGGCTCATAAAGCATGGTAGAGATGGAATGGCTCCAGTTCATCGCCCGCCTCTGCTTAGATTCGTTCTAGCACAATGAATCAACATTACCCCTTTAAGAAAACCATCCCGAGTAGTGCTTATCTGGGGACAAATCCACCTAATCCCGCTCATACAAGCAAGCACAGCAACGTCAAGAGAGTCTGGGAGAGGACAGCAGAATATGTCCCCTGTTTGTGGGCAGTCCTGGGATTCTTCTGGGGTGTGACACAAGTCCCATTTATCATGACACACTAGAAGCTGAGCTATCAGGGCACCTGCCCTGCCAGTACTGTCCTGCCCCAGTCAGCTCTATGATGTTTTTGTCCAAGCAGTGAGCAGAGGTCCTCACTGCCAGGCTCTGGCTTTAAAAATCATGAGCTGTCTCTCTCCAGCTCACAAAACCAGCCTAAGACATCCGGGAGAGAGGATCTTTCCCATTCCAGAACTCTCTGTATTTCCCTGCAACTGGCAAGGGTGAGGAATAAGGACGCTTTACCTCTTTTCACAAAAAAAACCCTTTTTATTTGTCTGTGAAAGCCGAGGACTAGGCTGCAGGGCGAGACAGCCTCTGGCCTTCACTCCCAAGTCTCACTCCCAAGCAGCAGCTGGTGGGGCAGAGGTGTTGGCAGCAGCACCCACCAGCACACCATACCACGCTCGGGGGGCATGGCCCTCCTGCCCCACCTCACGGTGCTGAACCCTGTGCTTTGCAAGCATTTCAGAGCCAAGCAGGTCCCCAGCCTATACCCATCCGGAGTCCACTGCTTCATCCCATCCCATACACACAGAGCTGCACCTGCCTAAGCCATGCCCCATTTTTGCAGGGCTGCAGAATGGCCATGAGGGACCTGGGACCTCAGTGGGGTGCGGTTTGCTCCACTCTTCCCCAAACCGGCTGCAAGCCCTGTCTGGATGGGGAGACCCGAGCGTGGGACACCAGCTGTGACCCCAGGGAAGCCAAATGAGCCAAGATGCTGGTTTTAAAGTCCTGGCTATAAAAATGGCAGGGGCGGTGCTGCCAGTTGTAGGAAGCACCTGCGGGGGCAAGCAGGAGGGCAGCTTTGCCAGCACGGCCCAAAGCCCCCGGGACCAGCCAGAGCCACAGTGGGGCCAGAAAGGGCCCCTGCACTCATCCTCCAGTGGGGCCACTACTCCAGGGTCGGCGCTGTTACATCCTCCCAGCCACAAGCTGTACAACCCCAGCCACAGCAGAGACCCCACTCTGGGACGGCGTTTCGGGGCCCAACAGCAGCAGGACCTTTCCCGAGGCGCTCCCGCCGAGTCCTGCGCGCCCCGCGCCTCCCCGGCTCCGAGCAAAGCAGTAACGAAACCGAGCCTACCGGCACCTTTTCCAAGCCTGGCGCGGTCCGGAGCAACGCAGACACGACCCAGGTGGGTGTCCGAGGAAAAGCCGGCGGCTCCGCTGCTCCTCGCCCGCCGCGGTGCAAGGGCGGTCCCGCTCGAGCCCGGGCCGGAGCCGGGCCGGGCAGCGCTCCGCGTCCAGCCCCGGGCCGGGCTCTGCGCACAGCGAGAGAAAGACTTCACAGCAAAAGAGAAGCAGACATCCATGGCTAGCCGGGACACTTCGAAAGGAACTATTTTAAGGGGCCAGTGGGGAACTCGGGGGACTTGTTTTGGTTTTTTTTTTGTTTTAGGTGTGCAGCCGCAGAGGCTGCAATCCACCTTTCTCCTGTCTTTTTCTGCCCGAGAAACCTTTTTTTTCTTTTTTCTTTCTACCTTTGGGGAAAGGAGAGGGTAAATTTGTTCAAATGTAAATTTCAAAGCATGCAAGGTTCCGCAGGTTGCTCGCCCGAGCGGCCCCCGCGGAAAACAGGAGGAGATGGGCCACCCCCCGTCCGTCCACTGCGCCCCCAGTCAAGTTCAAGACGGGCCGGTCTGGGGCCTGCCCCGGTCAGCGAAGGTGCGGCGGCCGCAGCGCGGTTCCCCGGCTGTCCCGGGGCTGGCGGCAGGTCCGTTCTGCCGGCTGAGGGTGCGGAGCCTCCCGGCCGCGCTCCGCCGGGACACGAGGCCGTGGGCGCTGCCGCCGGAGCCTCCCGGCCGCGGGGTGCAGCACCACACGCCGGGGAGCGGCGCTTTCCACCGCCGCTCTGCTTGCTTGGGGTCCTGGGTGACGCCGAGAAGTGGCTCGGGGGAGATGTTTCATCTCGATCCCTTTCCTCTCCCGAGGACGGGATGGCTTTTCCGCATCCTAGTCAGAAGTAAAAACAAAACAAACCAGACGGTAACGGAGACAGTCCTGCCCGCCGCGAGGTCGCCCCGGGCCCCCCCGGCAAGCAGCCCGGTGTCGGCGGGCGGGTCGGGCGCGGTTGCCCGGCCCCCACGCCCCGCGCTGCCGCCCGGCCCGGTACTCACCGTCGGGATCTCCCCGTCGGGGCGGCCCCGCTGCCCCCGGCGCTGCCCGGACCTCGGCCCGCTCGGGAAGCTGGCGGGGGAGCGAAGCCGCTGGCGGTGGAGGGCGGGGACAAAGGGACAGGACGGAGAGCGGCGGCGAGGAGGAGGCTTCCCCCGGCATCGCCGGCTCGAAAACAACGGCCTGGCCCCGGTGGCATCTCCAACCGGGCCTGCGACAGGACCGCGGCTGCCCCGTGCCCCGGAGGAGGTCAAAAACGGCTCTTTCCAAAACAATAAACTTTTAATGCTAGAGCAGTTATAACCAAAAGCTGTACAGAGTTGGATTTTTTTGTTCGTTTGTATTTTTTTGTTAGAAAACAATTTTTTCTCCCTCATAAATATTGTTCAGTTCCCGGCACTTTGTATCAATAATTAAATTACGAACGATAAATATGGCATCATGGGTATGTATTTACAAAAAAAGTTATTACAAAAAGGCAACTGTTATACTAAACGTCACAATCTGGGTAGAATAAACACCACATCCTCATCCTGAAAAATACTGACCGACCCCATCAGACGAGAATACATTCACAAGTGTAATGCTTGGAGAGAGAAGGAGAAAGAAGAGTGGAGAAAGAAGCAGCAGGAGAGCTAGAAAGGAAAGTTCAAGACATAACAGGACTTTGGCACGGTTTAAGACTGTAAGTTTAAACAATCACCACTAAGGCGAAGGAGAATTTTCATCCTCATGTCAACATCCCACCGAAAGAAAGAAAAACGAAATTAAGAATATTAAAATAGTGGGGAATTGGAGGAAGATAGACTCAGACAAGGAGGGGGGGGGGGAAAATCAAAGCAACGGTTGTGACTGAAAAAAAATGACAACAAAAAAAAGAAATCTAATCCTGAGAAAAGGACATGGCTAGTCCAGCGTCTGGGATTGCAAAAAAATAGTAATAATTATAATATAATAATAAAAGATCCCCCCTCCGGATCCTGGCAGTTAAGTAGGTGTAGCCCTATGCGGTCGTCGGTGTGGAAATTCCATTTCCGTGGGAGCGAGCTGCAGTTGGCTTGGTTTGTCCTTTTTTTTTTTTTTTTTTTTTTCCATCGTTCTCAATGCATTTGGTCCAGTCTGTGGCTGGGCAGCAGCTGCCTTCACACATACCACTCATTAAAATTGGGGGGCAGTCCAGGGTTGTGGCCGGGGTTACTCTGAAGGGCGGCCGGCGGAGTTTTAGTGGAGTCCTTACTGCCGGCGGAGCCCACCGCAGGGGGGGTGGAGGACTCGTACCCCGAACTGGCTGCAGGGGAAGAGTCCGACCCCTGGGATTCGTGCACCTAAAACCAAGAGGCAGAGATGGGAGCGAGCTCGGGGCCTCCACCGCCCCGCTGCGCCAGGCCGGGCTGTTCCCCCGCGCAGGAGGGTCACTGTGGAGCACCGGCTCGGCCCTGTCCGGTCTTCAGGCAGCGCACTCCGGCCGGCCGCCGAGCACCGGCAACAATCGCCCGCCGTGGCCCCGGACACTCCCGCTCAGGGGGGCTGCAGCATCCCCGCACGAGGGGCAGCAGCATCCCCGCACGAGGGGCTGCAGCCGCAGGCCGAGCTGCCCTCGCACAGCCTCCCCGCACCGAGCCCCGCGCTGCAAACCGGGCAGCGCTTGCACCAGTGGGAGCGCAAAAACAAACTACGCCATTTCCCCGGGCTGTGCTCCAGCCACAGCCTGGACACCGGGCACCGCTCGGGCCGTGCCGGGAACACGGAGTCCGGCTGTGCCCTGCTCTGCGGGAGTGAGCCCTGGGCGCACCAGCGACTGAGCATCACTGCTCAGGGAGGAAAGGGCTGGAGCACCGGGGTGATTTACCTTCATGTGTTTCCTAAGTGAGCTGGGGTGGGTGTAGGATTTGTCGCACACCTTGCAGATGTAGGGCTTGTCCGAGGTGTGGACGTGCATGTGTTTCTTCCTGTCACTGCTGTTGGCGAAGCGCCTGTCGCAGCCCTCAAACTCGCACTTGAAAGGCTTCTCACCTGTGAAATTTAGAGACGATGAAGGAGGGCCGCTCCCCTCTCCATCCCTTCCCGCCTCCTCCCAGGACAACGTCTGCCCTGCTCACCCCACCTTAGGGATGCACAAGCACCACAACAAATGAAGAAGGGCAAGATGCACAGCAAGATTTGTTATGTGTCAGATAAATTTGGATCAGCCTTTATTACTTTTAACTCACCTCCCGCCAGGCCCACGCTGGGCTCCAGCAGGGAAGGCGGCTGGGCGAGCTTGGGGAAGAAGACCCGAGAAATTCAGCGGCTCGGACAGCTTTACAAGACCTACTCGAGGATACAAGCCAAAGTACGTTTGCTTCCAGCCTTCTCCCTCTCTTCCCTCCACCCATGCAGGAGGGCTGAAGGAAAGTCGGGGCTGCAAATAAAAATACTTTGACAAAAGTATCGCCGATTTAATTAGAAGAGACGCCAATCAGGCCTAAAAATAAAAATAAAAAAGGAGCGGAAGTCACCGAAAAGGAGAATTCATTAGCATTTCTATGGTTCCCTCCGCTCAGGCGCTCAGGAGGCCGAGAGCGGAGGCAACGCCGCGCACCAGCCCGACCCCGCAGCCCCCGCGGAGCCGCGCGTCCCGGCCGGGGAACACACGGGCACGGGCCTTACCTGTGTGCGTCCGCTTGTGAATCTTGAGGTTCTCGGAGCGGGCAAAGATCTTGCCGCAGCCCGGGAAGGGGCAGGGGAAGGGCTTCTCCCCCGTGTGCACCCGAATATGGTTCACCAGTTTGTATTTCGCCTTGAAGGACTTGCCTTCCCGCGGACACTCGTCCCAGTAGCAGATGTGGTTGTTCTGTTCCGGCCCCCCGACGTGCTCCATGGTGACATGGGTCACCAGCTCGTGCATGGTGCTGAAAGTCCTGTCGCAGCTCTTCTTGGGCCGGCTAAGCTGGCTCTCGTCGAGCCACTTGCAGGACAATTCTTGCTTGATGGGCTGGCGCATGTACCGAAAGAAAGCGCCGGGGCCGTGGTGGTGGTGGTGATGGTGGTGGTGGGCCGCCACGTTCATGCCCATATTCATATTCATGTGGTTGTAGTTGTGGAACTGGGCGCCGGCGTAAGGGTCCGTGCGGGGGCTGGAGACGGCCCGGTAGGGATCCGGCCGCCCGAAGAGGTCCCCGCGCAGCCCCAGGTGCATCTGCCCGTTGTCCACATGCCCGTTCGGGGACGTGTGGCTCGGGCTCTGCTCGTGCAGCCCCGGGAAGAGCAGGTAGCCCGGGGTGTCCGGGATGCCGCCGGGGCCGTGCAAGCCGCCGGGGGAGCCGCCGAAGAGCCCGTGCTGCGCTGTGCCGGAGGCGGCGTCCGCGATGCCGGAGCCGCGGTTGCGGAACAGAAAGTCGCGGGTGGAGTTGAAGGCGGCGGCCCCGCCGTAGGAGGGCACCTGGCCGGCGTGGTGGTGGTGATGGTGATGGTGGCCCAGGGCGCTGGCGTAGCCCGGCGCCTGCGGCGTGAACGCCGAGCTCTGCCCGGCAGCGAGGTCGTGCGGGGCCGCGTTCAGCTTGAAGGCGGCGGCGTGCGAGGAGTCCCCGAAGGGCCCCAGCCCCATTCCGCCGCCGGCGGCGTCGCGACCCGGCATGTCGTGGTGGCGGGGCGCCGCGAAGCCGCCCACCCCCAGCGCCGGGAACTGCGGCCCTCCGTCCAGCAGCATCGTCATGGGCGCGGGGCCGTCGGCGCGGCAGGAGCCTGCCCGTCCCCCCTCCTCCCGCCCGCCCGCCCCCAGAAAAGTACAAAACCACCCCAAAAAGCACCCCCACCCCGCCCCCCGCTGCGGGCAGGCGTGGGCAGGCGCAGCCCCGGCCGGGCAGCGAGGCGAGCACCCGCCGGCCGACACAAAAAAAAAAAACCCACAACAAAAAAAAAACCAAAAACGAAAACACAAAACCCAAAACGACCGGCCCCAGAACAGCCACCCGCCCCCCGCGCCGGGCCGGGCAGGGCGGCGCAGCAGGGCGAGGAGGCGCAGCGCGGCCCCGCTCCCGCTCGGCGCCGTCGGGGCACTGACGGGGCGCCCGTCCGCGCCTCGCACATAAACCAACTCCGGGCCAGGCCGCGCCGCGCCAATGGGGAGCCGCGCGCCGCCGGTCACCTGACCCGCCTCCCGCCGCCCCATTGGCTGCACCGCGCTTGATTGGCACTCGGCCCGCGCCGCCACGGCCGCTGATTGGGCGCGCGCGCCCCGCAGGTAGAGCAGGGGCGCCGGGGGCGCCGGGCAGGCCGGGGCGGTGGGAGCGCCGCGTGTGTCCCCCCGCGTGTGTGTGTGTGTGTGTGTGTGTGTGTGTGTGTGTGTGTGTGTGTGTGTGTGTGTGTGTGTGTG